CCCCCCAATACACACAAATACATACACATTTATGCCTCAATGGCGTTAACACACAACCCCAAAGGTGAATATTCTTCAGCTGAACGGGGAGGAAAAAAAATTATTCTGCAGTAGCTGAGCTTACACATAGAAAAACCCCGCCCAACATGATAATATGAGAGCACACTGCAACGAACATGATACGTGTTTACTAATAGCTGTGAATGTATTATTTTGTAAAGAACAAGCTCTTGTACGTGGTGTACATTTGGAGGCAGATAATCAATTTTAACCCCCCCCCCCTCCCTCAACTGGCTTTTTAAATGCACGTATATCGAACGGGATAACTTTTAGTTTTAGACAAAATTATACAGCACTTGCAACATAAAAGGGCCAAATAAGTGCCAAAGGGTTGAGGTATTAATAGTAATAGAAAGCAGCACATATAAAAAAGAAAACAGGAGAAATTAGGAAGATCTACATCAGACCACCTGCCAACCACCTATAAATCGATAAAAAAAAAAACGCTCAACATACGGGAAATGGAGAGCTGAGAAGTTACCAGATTGCACATAATATGTTCTCTTACCTTGAGCTTCTGGTATCCTTTCCTTTTATTCATGGCGAAGCTGTTCCACTGTAATATACTCCAAGGAAGAAGGGAGAAAAAAACCCCACGTCCTAACAGCAGGTCACTTAGAAATCACACAACATGTCTAGCAGACATGCTCTTCGCTCAACTTTGTCACAACTAGGTCTCACAAGCTTGATAAAGGCCACGCACAAGATAATGCTGCAGTAGCCAAATCAATTAAGTGGCCAGGCCAGTAGTCCATTTCAGGTGGCCAGGTCGGTAATTGTTTTAAATTAATTATGTGGCCACGTCACTATGTAGACATCTAAGTGGCCAGGTCACTAAATGAATTTTTTAAAAACCTCAACAAAAACCAAAACAAATCAAAGCCAGAATTACGACCGCACAATCCACACATTCAGAACACTAAATTGGGATCTTCATGCTCCGTGACTTTAATGTACCCGTGTCTTTACATTATTCTCACCAATCCACTTCGTTTCGCACGATGAAATGCATAATACATAAATCAATTCGCCGGTATTGATTAGAACTATCACACTTTTTTTTATCCCGAATAGATAAGAGTAGGAGAATACATCGAATCGAATAGATTACATTATTTTTTTATAAAGAGAAAAAAAAAACCTTCCTGATTACTTCTTCTAAAACTGCTTCTCACGTTTTAAGTATCAGCGTGACTCGATGAGAACACAGCGGCAGCGAATCATTACCAGGACA